ATAGCTCACACGATCCAATGATTTATTAGTTTTAAAGACTGTAAACTACAGGAGGGTGATTAGGGCTTCATGGTTCCCGTTCACTACATCAATTATTTTAATCATGAGGGAGCGCTAATCCTGTAGGATTATACAGCGCCTGTGGGGAGATGATGGAAGGTATTCAGGCTCAATTCAGGGAACCGGAGCACAGATCCAATTCCCTAGATCAAGAGTCAATCACCAGCTTCAAGGAACTCACTTGAGGGGACACTACGTCAATAATATTTCAGTCTCAACAAATATTAATATATATATATATATATATATATATATATATATATATATATATATATATATATATATATATATAGGGAGGTACCACCTCTAGAACTGTTATAGGGACCCTCATCCTCAGAGAAAAGAATAAACTTGCTTCAGGGAAAACTCAAGGTTCTCCCTGAAGCTGTTTGAGAATTTTCTCCTACCACCCCCTATATTTTATATATATATTTTATTTAAAGGCAAAATGCATTGACAAAACATTCACAAAAATACGATAGAAAGTAAAACAACATAGGTAACTCAGAGCTACATCTCGAATACTTCGTCCAGCTCCCCAGCGGTGGGCCGCGTGCCCAGAATGCTGCAAGCATTTCCTCTCTGGATTGCAACACTGAGTCTCTGAAAGAGGAAGCTGGTTGCCCTGTGGTCCTTGGTTTCTATGATGAGCTTTTCACCCAGCTCTATTAGGAACTTTAGAGCACACTTGCCCCATGCTTCAAGGGTCTCCGACCCTATTGGGATGAAGTTATAGCAAGGGGGAAGGTCTTCATATTTGCGGATCTTCTGGGTCTCCCTGTGGCTGGCAGCTCCACCCCCTTCCACTACGGAGTATGGCAAGTAGGTGTCTGCCAGTGTGGCGGCACATGTGTAGTCCCAGGCAATCTGCTTTCCATCCTTCCAAGGTAGCATAGTGGCTCCATCAGGACACTTTAGACTTCCGTCAGACCTCTGCACTTGGGGTTCCCGTTGAGCTGGGCAACGGGCTGTGGCGAGGCTTCTCTTTATGATGTCATTGACCTCCTCATGCCTGGCATACTTCCCTTCGCTGTGTGACACACGAAACCATGAAGTCCGAATTGATCAGCTGTCGCCCTGCCGCAAATACACCTATGTTCGGTGAGGATGGGGGAGGCTAGGCAAAGAGCAACACCAATCCGAATGGCCTGTGGGTCTAGTCGAGTGCCCAAGGAGGAATTGGGAACAGCTAACAGAAAATCTCCTGAGTGTGGTGCCTTCATATATATATATATATATATATATATATATATATATATATATATATATGTGTGTGTGTGTGTGTGTGTGTGTGTGTGTGTGTGTGTGTGTGTGTGTGTGTGTGTGTGTGTGTGTGTGTGTGTGTGTGTGTGTGTGTGTGTGTGTGTGTGTGGAAAATTACATTTATCTGGATGTAATTCATAATGTACACACCAGTAAATGGTCACAAAGACAATTACATAGACAAGTAGGAATTTGGGACACCTAGGTCGCAAAAAATGTCCCCCTTCGATACCTACAACTGTCATATCCACAAGTTGCTCTAGACCTATTAATTACAAATGAAATATGCATCACCAGGAATTCTGGTAAATATAAAAATTTGTGGACTGTATATTAAAATTAATAAATAATTACATATGCACAGTTATATAACAGAAGGAGAATATATCTTAATACCACTCACCAATTTGACTGGAGATTACTGTATGTCATGTACGGGACCCCCTTTTTTGCCTACATTTATGATAAATTTTGGTCAGAATTTAACATAAACAGACTTATCTGAGGTTTCTGGAGCTGCCCTGTACATCAGTTTAATGCTCAACTTATGCAGAAATGCACATCCAACAATTTCGGCTCCTATTTGAGAGATGTCAGCCCAATTTAACCTCTAGAGCGACGAAAATTCTTCCAATTATTCACTAACGTTTCTTGTCCAATTCAAACAACAATGGCCACTGCCCAGTGCAGGCGCAGAGCCTCCCTGTCGGCTCCATTCTCTTCTTTTAAAAATACATACATTTTATTTTTCCGGAAAATATTATTTTCCACAATATATATATTATATATATATATATATATATATATATATATATATATATATATATATATATATATATATATATATATATATATATATATATATATATATTGGAACCTCAGTTGTTGAACTTAATTCATTCCAGAAGTCAGTTTGACAACAAAAATGGTCAACAACCAAACCAATTTGTGTAATAAAATGTGATGCTGATCTGACCCTTCGAGAAATTTTTAAGTAAAGGGGGATGTGGAAGAGCCGGAGAGTCATGCAGATGGTGGATGCCATATTGAATTTAATGTGTGAGCACTGGATCGAGTTGTGCAATGTGATCGGGCATTCTCCGAGGCCAGATTGGGGTGTTTCAGATTGAATTTGTAATTAGGAGCCCGTGTTAATGTCCCTTGCTGAATTTTTTTTCAACCAGCCGGCCGTCTCCCACCTAGGCAGGGTGTCCCAAAAAGAAAGAAAATCCCCAAAACGAAAATACTTTCATCATCATTCAACACTTTCACCTCACTCATACATAATCACTGTTTTTGCAGAGGCACCCAGATACAACAGCTTAGAAGCATATATAAAGATACAATATAAAAAATGACCTGAAAGAATATGATAAACTATGCTATTTACCATATAGAATATAGCATCAGGGTCCCAATTATATATATACCGTCCTATTACACATCCCTCCAAACTGCCAGTATCCCAAACCCCTCCTTTGAAGTGCAGGCATTTCACATTTCCAGAGCTCAAGTCTGGCTATATAAAAATAACTGGTTTCCCTGAATCCCTTCACTAAATATTACCCTACTCACACTTCAACAGCTCGTCAGGTTGGTAGACAGCAGCCACCCTAGGGATTGACAGAGAGCATGTATAATTCCTTTATATAAAGGGAAGGGAGACAAAAGAGACTGTAAAAATTATAGAGGAATAAGTTTATTGAGTATATCAGGAAAAATGTACAGTAGGGTTATTATTGAAAGAATGAGAGGCAAAACAGAATGTAGGATTGCAGATGAGCAAGGAGGTTTTAGAGAGGGTAGGGGATGTGTAGATCAAGTGCTTACATTGAAGTATATATGTGTGAACAATATTTAGATAAAGGTAGGGAAGTTTTCATTGCATTTATGGATTTAGAATAGGGGAGCAATGTGGCAGATGTTGCAAGTATATGGAATAGGTGGTAAGTTACTAAATGCTGTAAAGAGTTTTTATGAGGATAGTGAGGCTCAGGTTAGGGTGTATAGAAGAGAGGGAGACTACTTCCCGGTAAAAGTAGGTCTTAGACAGGGATGTGTAATGTCACCATGGTTGTTTAATATATTTATAGATGGGGTTGTAAAAGAAGTAAATGCTAGGGTTTTGGGGAGATGGGTGGGATTAAATTATGGGAAATTATATACGAAATGAGAATTGACACAGTTACTTTTTGCTGATGATACTGTGCTTATGGGGGATTCTAAAGAAAAGTTGCAAAGGTTAGTGGACGAGTTTGGGAGAGTGTGTAAAGGCAGAAAGTTGAAAGTGAACATAGAAAAGAGTAAGGTGATGAGGGTATCAAATGATTTAGATAAAGAAAAATTCAATATCAAATTGGAGAGGAGTATGGAAGAAGTGAATGTTTTCAGATACAGTGGTACCTCGGGTTACGAACAGCTCAAAACTCAAACAGTTGTGTAAGTGTATTTGTGTAAGTGCTTTTGTAAGCATATTTTTGGGGGTCTGAAATGGATTAATCTAATTTACATTATTCCTTATGGGAACAAATTTGTTCGGTATCGGCACTCGAACAGCCTTCTGGAACGAATTAAGTTCGTATCCCGAGGTACCACTGTATTTGGGAGTTGACGTGTCAGCAGATGGATTTATGAAGGATGAGGTTAACCATAGAATTGATGAAGGAAAAAAGGTGAGTGGTCCATTGAGGTATATGTGGAGACAAAAAACATTATCTATTGAGGCAAAGAAGGGAATGTATGAAAGTATAGTGGTACCAATACTCTTATATGGGTATGAAGCTTGGGTTGTAAATGCAGCAGCGAGGAGACGGTTGGAGGCAGTGGAGATGTCCTGTTTAAGGGCAATGTGTGGTGTAAATATTATGCAGAAAATTCGGAGTGTGGAAATTAGGAAAAGGTGTGGAGTTAATAAAAGTATTAGTCAGAGGGCAGAAGAGGGGTTGTTGAGGTGGTTTGGTCATTTAGAGAGAATGGATCAAAGTAGAATGACATGGAAAGCATATAAATCTATAGGGGAAGGCAGGGTAGGGGTCGTCCTCGAAAGGGTTAGAGAGAGGGGGTAAAGGAGGTTTTGTGGGCAAGGGGCTTGGACTTCCAGCAAGCGTGCGTGAGCGTGTTAGATAGGAGTGAATGGAGACGAATGGTACTTGGGACCTGACGATCTGTTGGAGTGTGAACAGGGTAATATTTATGAGTGAAGGGATTCAGGGAAACCAGTTATTTTTATATAGCCAGACTTGAGTCCTGGAAATGGGAAGTACAATGCCTGCACTTTAAAGGAGGGGTTTGGGATATTGGCAGTTTGGAGGGATATGTTGTGTATCTTTATATATGTATGCTTCTAAACTGTTGTATTCTGAGCACCTCTGCAAAAACAGTGATAATGTGTGAGTGTGGTGAAAGTGATGAAAGATGATGTAAGTATTTTTTTGGGGGGGGGATTTTCTTTCTTTTTTGGGTCACCCTGCCTCGGTGGGAGACAGCCGACTTGTTAAAAAAAAAAAAAAAAAAAAAATTACTAAAGTTAAAGAGAGAAACTTGTGTTTTTCTTTTTGGGCCACCCTGCTTCAGTGGGGTATGGACAGTTTAAAAAAAAAAAAAAACACTAAGAGATTTACACCTTGGTGTGTATATACCAGGCTGAATAACCCAACACAGGAGACTGATATACAGAATTAACAAGCATTTTTATTCATATATATATTTTAACAAGTCTTTGGATATTCAACAATATTTTTTGCATTTTTACAATAGTGATCAACATATCAAATATGTACAATAAAATATATTACTGTACACTGTGGTAAATACAAAAACAAACATTTAATTAATATCAAACTTAACTTCATTTTATAAATTACAGAAAAAATATAAACAATTATTAAAGGCACAGTGTTAAATGTGGGATGCTTGAGCAAAGATTTCAAACATTGAGGTACTCAAGATAACTTTGCTATGTACAAACGTGAAACATTAACATATACTGTGTACATCACATAAATAAATGGATTCAGAAGCAACATGCAACATTCAATCCTAAACTGGACCAAAACTTTTGCTAGTCCTTTAATTATGTGAACATTACTATACATGATAACACAAGATTTAACAAAGACATCAATGCTAGTCACAATTTACCCCCATATTAGTAACAAATATCAGTTTCATTCAGTCCTAGGAAGGTACCAATATGAAAAACAATATTTCTATAAACAATGCAATCAGAGTAATTCCAGAAGCTACTGCATTTCAAAACCAGGTTGCTGTCACCTTCCCAGCTCCATCAAGATAAAGGTCAAATCATACCAATGATAAATGCTAGTACTAGTGTACGTAGCACAGACTAACGCCAGCCATGCATAAAACTATTTTGTTGTGGTGCCAGCACAGAACTACATTTGGTATACAGAAGACACCAACAGTATAGCAACTCTAATGTAGCAACAATGATTATGAAGCACACGAGCACCACCACAGCAAGTCTATCATGTGAAGTAGGTAACTTAGTAGTAGAGTATTTGGCTCATCCAAAGGAACCCAGGCAAAGACACAAATGAGCAAATCTCCTTGCACCCTCAGCCCTGGTTCACCTAGCAGTAAATAGGTACAGTTCCTAGGAATTAACTGACTTATGAGTCACATCCAAGTGCAGAGGCCCAAAGGATTTTACTAAAAGCCACAATGCTTGGCTTTCTCGAGTTATCCTACATTATTAACAGAGAAAAATCTACAACTACAATAGGATCTATGCTTTTCTACTTGCATAATAATCTTAGTCATGTTACAATAATTTAGTGACTTGTAAGGCAGATATCAGTAAATGTAAAGTGGCAAAATTCATACGTATTCTGTGCATTTTGTTTATATACAGTGGACCCCCGACTTACGATATTAATTCATTCCAGAAGTCTGTTCGGGTGCCGTTACCGAACGAATTTGTTCCCATAAGGAATACTGTGAATTAGATTAGTCCGTTTTAGACCCCCAAAAATGCACGTACAAAAGCACTTACAAAAATACACTTGCATAATTGTTCGAGCTGGGAGCTGATCGTAAGGCGAGGGTCCACTGTATATACTTCACATATATGAAGATCAACAGAAGTTTATGGTGCTTCTGAAGCACTGATCTGACAACTATCAGGTCCAAAACTGAGCCATTGTATGTCATAAAACTGTCTGTGTGCTCTATTGTAGTTTACATGTGCATATTTTGCAAAACTTGTACTATAGGTTTGAACAGGCCCAGAGTTTGCTTATATCTTCACTGCAGAAGCATAGATTAATTTTATTTTTACAGCAGCAAATATTTTGTACAATGTGAAAGGGGCTCACTTAATCATAGCAAGTGATTAATTGTTTGATTACTATCAAGAGAATAGGTAATTGTACCCTTCAGCTACCACGTCAAAAATATTTAAAAATTTATTACGGTATAAAAAAATTGTATTTGTCAATGAAATATTAAATGAACCACACAGGTTTAATGCCTCTTTATGCAAAAACAATAATACTGTATTAATAATAATACTGTACCAGTAATATTAAATATACTGTCACAAAAATATCTACATTAAGTAAGTAAAGTGACTGTTTGTAAACTTCACCTACATATTTGTACAGAAGTAACACTTCATTTATTACATCATTATTGGTAATAAACTTAGCTCAGATGGTATCGTAAAGCATCAAAAATACTACAACATTACAGCTGGCTTGGAATATTAAATTCTGACACAGTAACTGGACTGTCTTGACATACTAATATGGTAATCCCACTGCCTAACATGAATTACTTCTGATAAGACTAAAGATTAAGAAGGGACCTCATCTTAACTGTCCCCCTAACTATAAGTTATATGCCTTGCCACTCCATCAGTATGTAAAATTGCACGATGTTACTGAACTTCACTAGTAATGGATAATATTTACAAAACAAATATTCCACTAAGCTCCAAGACACTGATTATGCAATGGCTGATTGGCTTAGAAAAGCAGCAGAAGACAGTATTGGGACATTTCAATTCATCTCAAAACATTTGGACTTCAGTCTTGTAGGCATGCTGCATACAAGGTTCAAGTTCAAACCTTATAAGTGGTCTTGTCTGATCTGGCACCTCAACAAAAAAAAATAAAAAAAATAAAAAAAAAATCCATATAAAAATGATGTTCAGTAATTGAGGATCTACTGTATGATAAATTAGTGTAATAATGATTTTAATTAAATGAAAATTTATGAATAAGCTTATCTAATGATGATTTTAATTATAGTAAACATTGATTAATAAAAAAAAAATTCAAGGTATAGAATCTTTGCTACCCAAGAGCAACAGACAGTTCTTTGAAATTTTAATTTGTAGTATTACATAGTAAAAGGAACAAAAAAGTAGTTCACCAAAAATGTATAAATATTTCATAAATGGTTTGAACACTCATGGGTGGCTGAACTACCAAAAGGAACAGGGCTCAATCTCCATAAGAAATGAGATACATGAACAAGTCTCCTTACTACTGCTGCCTCTTGTTCACTAGGCAGTAAACAAAGCCTATCTATGAGTTAGTTGGCTTTTAGTGGTCACATACTAGGGCAGAGGAATTGCAGGATCCCAGCAGAAATACATCACACTGCTTGACTTTGGGGATATCTGAATTTTAAAGAAAAGCAGTGTTATGAATGAAAGAAAAATGGATGTCTTGGTACTAAGTAAAACATTAAAGTAAGTTAGAAGAGTGTAGATAGAGGAAGAAATAGAGATTAAGTCTGGTGTCAGAGTAAAAAAAATAAAGGATTAGCAATACTGTTGAGTGAACTGGAAAACTAATTGGGTATGGATATATTAATTAAAAAATTGTGTAGATAAAAATGAAGGTAGGATGTGCAAAGTTCGTTAAAAGTATCCACATGGGTGTGAAAAAATGCAAGACAGGTTCTAGTACATTTTAAGTGAAAATGAGAATTTTTAACCAAGTGAGAAAAATTTGGAGAGACTTTATAACTTAAATATGACTAAAGAAAGTTGCAGGAAGTTCCTGGTGTAAAACCAAATAAGAGACATTTGGTAATGTGTTGCTTACAATGAGGTTGGAGAAAAAGTACAGTAATACATTTAATAAAACTGAGTATAAGAGATATAATGAAGTTTATAAAAAGAAGACTGCTGAATTGTGCATTAGCAAGTAAAACAAAATCATTCATTTACCAGTATGTACTGTGCATATTTTTTAGAGGAGTGACTGATATATCTGATCGTACAGCAGATAGTTTAAAAGCAAGTGAAAGGTGGAGGTAGGAAGAAAGAGCTGAATTAAGAACCAGGAGTTTGTCATCAGAACAGACAAATATTTTATCATTTCATCACTTAAACTGTTTTTCAAATATTGCCTTCCTTTACAGGTTAAATTAATACTTGTACACATTTGATACTTCTTGTATACACTACTCTAATGTAGTGATTTATAGTGCATATGCCAAGGAATACTCAACACCCAACTTCCAGGTGAAAATTATACTAAAAGGAAAGAGTACCATACAATGACTTAAGTCTTCTTACAAATCAACACTGGCATGAAGATTCCTTCAGCATACATACAATGCCCTTACCCAAAGCTCTAGTATAATATGTTGAACTTCAGAGTTTGAATCTTTTCTTTCAAAGTTATTGTTCCTCTTGAAGAATGCTTTATGCTTCCATGCTATCCTTCCTGGAAAAGAATGAATCTTTCTTGGGTGTGTTCCAAGAATATTATTCCTTCTTTGATTTAAAGGGTTCAACAAGTGTTTTCTTGACAATACCCAGGTTCCAGAGCCTAATGGACAGCATAGCACCTAGGATGGACCCAGCCCAGTACACCACCACATGCTCAGCATTGGTGTGGCCACGGCAGCTCCATTTTAGACCTGTTGCTAAGACTGGGTTGAAGTAGCCACCAGAGTAGTTGAATGCTGAAACAGAGAAACTTAGTTTTATTACATTAATAAGGCTAGTTCACTGACCCAAGATATACATTAGTTAATTCTGGGGAGCTGCTGAAATTAATACATTAACACAATGTGTGACAGCTTACATCAGTGCTGATTTTGTATTCAATGACAGCATTAAATACCTCTTGTTGTGTTGTGAATCATTATCTTTCAACAAACTGGCCATATCCCACCGAAGCAGGGTGGCCCAAAAAGAGAAGAGGTTACTAGCCCCTTGCTTGTGGCATTTTAGTTGCCTCTTATGACACGCATGGCTTACGGAAGAAGAATTCTGTTCCACTTCCCTATGGAGATAAGAGGAAATAAACAAGAACAAGGACTAGTAAGAAAATAGAAGAAAACCCAGAGGGGTGTGTTCTTTCAACACACCGGCCGTATCCCACCGTGACGGGGTGGCCCAAAAGGAAAAACAAAAGTTTCTCCTTTTACATTTAGTAATATATACAGGAGAAGGGGTTACTAGCCCCTTGCTCCCGGCATTTTAGTCACCTCTTATGACATGCATGGCTTACGGAGGAAGAATTCTGTTCCACTTCCCCATGGAGATAAGAGGAAATAAACAAGAACAAGGACTTGTAAGAAAATAGTGTATATACATTATATGCTTGTACATGCATGTGGAGTGTGACCTAAGTGTAAGTACAAGTAGCAAGATGTACCTCAAATCTTGCATGTTTATGATAAAAAAAAAAAAAAAAAGGCACCAGCAATCCTACCAACATGTAAAACAATTACAGGTTTTCATTTTACACTCACTTGACAGGAAGGTAGTACCTACTTGGGTGGCTACTGTCTACCAACTGAGACATTTCGGGCAGACTAATATTAATGCTTACAGACTGCTTGAAACTAGACATGGGCTATAGGATGGTAAATTTTAATTATTCATTACTTTACCTTATTACTAAAGTGAGGTAGCTAAAGAATTTTATAATTAATAAGATTTATAGTAGTGAGGTAGCACAAAACAAATCACAGTATTACAATTAGTACAATTTACAATATTACAACAGTATAATTTTAATTATGTGTAATGTTTATAGTATGTGCCTCTAATCTTTTGACTACAACCCATAGGATATGAGACAATTGGTGTAATAAACTATCAGATTTATATTTAATAACACTTTTTGATGCAGCAAACTCTATTAAGCTATAACGTAATTACTGATGGAATGGGCAGTTATACTATTACTAAGTAATACAGTATATGGTAATAGCACTTCCAGTTGCATTTTAAATATTGTGATTGTTGATTAAAATAACAGAGAATACATTTTGAAAATGGTATTACACAGATACAGTACATAATACAAAATAGCTATTTTAACCATTTCATTAGGAAGAGGCACATTTCAGCTATGACTCACCAAGTACGACCATGGAAGTAGAAAAGAAGGAGTCGATAGCAGGAGCAAATCTGGGCTCAACTTCACCAAGAGATCGGGATACAAGTCGGCAGGCACAGGTAAGCATGCACTCAATGAGGAAGCCAAAGAAGACAGGAACCTGTAGGTCAGCAGTGCAGTCGTCAACACCACGTCCAACGTGTGTCTGTGCCAGCTCCATCATCCAGATGTACTTCACCCATCTGTAATGCACACTTCAAAAGTAACACCTTACCAATTCAAAATTATAACTAACAACCATATCAGTTCCCAATTACATACTGCCAACTACCGAAGATTTGATAAAGCTCTACACACGAGTAAAATGCCTCAATAAAAGTGTTCAGCAATGTGTACTTTTTCTTCATTAAAATCATGTCAGTTTGGCAACACACAAAATAGCCCAAATGATTCCATGCTAATAATGCTTGGCAATCCATGAATTTCAGTAAAAACCTCAATTTAATATACAGTGGACCCTCGACTAATGGCTGCATCAGCTAATGGATCTCTTTGGCATCAAAATATTGGCTCGGCCAACGCCAAAAAACTCGGCTAAGGGTTTTCGTTACGAACGTGTCCGCGTGCCTAAGCGGGCCCGGCCACTCCAAGACTCCGTGTACAGCCACTGTGCCATTGTTTACAAGCCGTCGTGGACGATTCCACGCGTACATGCGATATGTTTTGTATTATTCCATTTTTTAATGCTTGTACCTGGAGTTTACCTGGAGAGAGTTCCGGGGGTCAACGCCCCTGCGGCCCGATCTGTGACCAGGCCTCCTGGTGGATCAGAGCCTGATCAACCAGGCTGTTACTGCTGGCTGCACGCAAACTAACGTACGAGCCACAGCCCGGCTGGTCAGGAACCGACTTTAGGTGCTTGTCCAGTGCCAGCTTGAAGAGTGCCAGGGGTCTGTTGGTAATCCCCCTTATGTATGCTGGGAGGCAGTTGAACAGTCTCGGGCCCCTGACACTTATTGTATGGTCTCTTAACGTGCTAGTGACACCCCTGCTTTTCATTGGGGGGATGTTGCATTGTCTGCCAAGTCTTTTGCTTTCGTAGTGAGTGATTTTCGTGTGCAAGTTCGGTACTAGTCCCTCTAGGATTTTCCAGGTGTATATAATCATGTATCTCTCCCACCTGCATTCCAGGGAATACAGGTTTAGGAACCTCAAGCGCTCCCAGTAATTGAGGTGTTTTATCTCCATTATGCGCGCCGTGAAGGTTCTCTGTACATTTTCTAGGTCAGCAATTTCACCTGCCTTGAAAGGTGCTGTTAGTGTGCAGCAATATTCCAGCCTAGATAGAACAAGTGACTTGAAGAGTGTCATCATGGGCTTGGCCTCCCTAGTTTTGAAGGTTCTCATTATCCATCCTGTCATTTTTCTAGCAGATGCGATTGATACAATGTTATGGTCCTTGAAGGTGAGATCCTCCGACATGATCACTCCCAGGTCTTTGACGTTGGTGTTTCGCTCTATTTTGTGGCCAGAATTTGTTTTGTACTCTGATGAAGATTTAATTTCCTCGTGTTTACCATATCTGAGTAATTGAAATTTCTCATCGTCGAACTTCATATTGTTTTCTGCAGCCCACTGAAAGATTTGGTTGATGTCTGCCTGGAGCCTTGCAGTGTCTGCAATGGAAGACACTGTCATGCAGATTCGGGTGTCATCTGCAAAGGAAGACACGGTGCTGTGGCTGACATCCTTGTCTATTTATTTATTTATTTATTTATTTATTTACAATTTGAGCACACATACAGAGGTACAAAAAAAAATACAGATAAGAGCAGCATGCCAAAGCCACTTATACTATGCATAGCATTACGGGCTGGCTTAAAATTAACTTAAGATTAACTAAGCAATGATGAAATCAGTGATAAAACATTAATGTAAACAGATTACTATAAAGCACAAGTGAGTATTACAATGACAGGTCATATGGTTGCATGCATTGTTGTACATTCAGTCGTATGGAGAATTCTGTTAGGTAGAGTATTTAAAAAATAGTAAAGTTAGATTGGGTTTTAGGTTTAACATTTATGTGATATAATTGTGAGAAACATTTAAGATATACAATTTTAAGGTTCAGTTATTCAGTATTTATTTGGTTTTGGGTGAGTAAGTGATCTTTGAGAAGAGACTTGAATTTATAAACAGGTAGTGTTTCTTTTATATTTACAGGTAATGAATTCCAGATTTTAGGGCCTTTTATGTGCATTGAGATTTTTCATAGTGTGAGATGGACACGAGGAACATCAAAGAGTGATCTGTGCCTTGTGTTATGGTCATGTGTTCTGTTGAGGTTGGCAAGGAGATGTTTGAGGGGAGGGTTAATATCAGAGTTAAGTGTTCTATGTATGTAATAGGTGCAGTAATAAGTATGGATGTTTTGTATGGTGAGTAGGTTTAGTGTATTGAATATTGGTGGAGTGTGCTGCCTGTAGTGAGAATTTGTTATCATTCTAACTGCTATGTCGGATATGAGGATGAGGAACAAGATGGGAGCGAGTACTGTGCCTTGTGGAAGAGAGCTATTCACTGTAGCTGCCTCGAACTTTACTCTGTTGACGACTACTCTCTGTGTTCTGTTCATTAGGAAATTATAGATCCATCTACCGACTTTTCCTGTTATTCCTTTAGCACGCATTTTGTGCGCTATTACGCCATGGTCACACTTGTCGAAGGTTTTTGCAAAGTCTCTATATATTACATCTGCATTCTTTTTGCCTTCTAGTGCATCTAGGACCTTGTCGTAGTGATCCAATAGTTGAGACAGACAGGAGCGGCCTGTTCTAAACCCATGTTGCCCTGGGTTGTGAAACTGATGGGTTTCTAGATGGGTGGTGATCTTGCTTCTTAGGACCCTTTCAAAGATTTTTATGATATGGGATGTTAGTGCTATCGGTCTGTAGTTCTTTGCTGTTGCTTTACTGCCCCCTTTGTGGAGTGGGGCTATGTCTGTTGTTTTTAGTAACTGTGGGACGACCCCCGTGTCCATGCTCCCTCTCCATAGGATGGAAAAGGCTTGTGATAGGGGCTTCTTGCAGTTCTTGATGAACACGGAGTTCCATGAGTCGGGCCCTGGGGCAGAGTGCATGGGCATGTCAGTTATCGCCTGTTCGAAGTCATTTGGCGTCAGGATAACATCGGATAGGCTTGTGTTAACCAAATTCTGTGGCTCTCTCATAAAAAATTTATTTTGATCTTCGACTCTCAGTCTGGTTAGCGGCTTGCTAAACACTGAGTCATATTGGGACTTGAGTAGCTCACTCATTTCCTTGCTGTCATCTGTGTAGGACCCATCTTGTTTAAGTAGGGGCCCAATACTGGACGTTGTTCTCGACTTTGATTTGAAGAAATACTTTGGGTTTCTTTCGATTTCATTTATGGCTTTTAGTTCTTCCCGTGATTCCTGACTCCTATAAGATTCCTTTAGCTTAAGTTCGATGCTTGCTATTTCTCTGACCAGTGTTTCCCTACGCATTTCAGATATATTGACCTCTTTTAGCCACTCTGTTATTCTTTTCCATCGCCTGTAAAGGGAGCGCCTGTCTCTTTCTATTTTACATCTACTCCTCCTTTTTCTTAGAGGAATAAGCCTTGTGCATACATCGAGTGCCACCAAGTTAATCTGTTCTAGGCATAAGTTGGGGTCTGTGTTGCTTAGTATATCTTCCCAGCTTATATCGGTTAGGACTTGGTTTACTTGGTCCCACTTTATGTTTTTGTTATTGAAGTTGAATTTGGTGAATGTTTCCTCGTGACTAATCTCATTATGTCGGTCTGGGGCTCCACGCATACATGCCTGAACCTCAATTATGTTGTGATCTGAGTATATTGTTTTTATATGGTGACATTTCTTATCAGATCATCATTGTTAGTGAAGATGAGGTCTAGTGTATTCTCCAGTCTAGTAGGCTCTATTATTTGCTGGTTTAAATTGAATTTTGTGCAGAGATTTAAGAGCTCGTGTGAGTGTGAGTTTTCATCAGAGCTGCCTCCTGGTGTTATTACTGCAACAATATTAATTGCTATATTCCTCCATTTTAGGTGCCTTAAGATGAAATCCCCCAGGAGCAAGATGTTGGGTGCAGGAGCTGGAAGATTTTCCAGACAGTGATTAATTTTTAACAGCTGTTCCTGGAATTGCTGGGATGTTGTATCCGGAGGCTTGTAGACTACCACAATGACTAGGTTTTGGTTCTCGACCTTTACTGCTAAAACTTCCACTACATCATTTGAGGCATTAAGCAGTTCTGTGCAAACAAGTGACTCTGCAATGTACAGGCCAATCCCCCCCCCTTTTGCCTGTTCACTCTGTCACATCTGTATAGGTTGTAACCTGGGATCCATATTTCGTTGTCCAAGTGATCCTTTATGTGGGTCTCAGTGAAAGCCGCGAACATTGCCTTTGCCTCTGCAACCAGTCCACGGATGAAAGGTATTTCGTTGTTTGTTGCTGGCTTTAGACCCTGTATATTTGCAAAGAAGAATGTCATCGGACTGGTGGTATTGTTGGTACTGGGGGGGAATTTTTTTTTCCGGCATTAGTATCTGTATCTGTTGGTTTGGAGTGGAGGCCATCAACTGTGGTTCCACTCCAGGAATGACTGGATTTGGTGTACGATTTCTGCCATTTCCTGCCAGTTTTTTTCTCTTCCTGGCACTAAAAAACCTCTCCCTCTTGAGTGGCTGTGGCTACCCAGGTTTTCCCATGGCCTGGATGTTTTGTATCTTTTTGTCCCCTTTAGATGGTGTGCCTGGCAATTTAAGTTATAGCACAGTCTTTCCTGTACTGAAGAGGTACACATTTCAGGGTGAAAAAGCTTACAGGAAGGGAGTTTGCATTTTCCTGTTGTCATATGGGCACGGTATTTTCTAGGGTGGTCATAGTTGCACGTCCCGTCTGTTTTTCCAGATTTCCCATGTCTGCAGATACCAAGTGCATAGTATGTGCACAGGCTTGGTTTCCGTTTGCCTTGGGTTTCTGTGACTGCATTCCCTGTTGGTGCATGTTTCCCTGTCTTATTCCTATCCTCCCTAGCACCAACAATGGAGCTCCCACCAGTTGTTTTTGGTAATATATCCTCACTATTGCTAGTGGAGTCCTCTTGTTTGCTATTTCCTGTGGTATTTCTAGTTTGCAATATTGGTTTTATCTTATCTTTGACTACACTTGTTCCCCCACTACGGCTCC